ATAAATGGAAGAACATCCCATGTTCATGGATAGGTGTTGTTGTTGTTGTTGTTGTTGTTATGTGCCGTCGAGTTGGACCCGACTCATAGCAACTCCTCCTTGGGTTTCCGAGGCAGTATCACTATGGAAGTAGATTGCCCCATCTTCCTTCCGAAGAGTGGCTGGTGGGTTTGATCCACCAGCCTTCTGGTTAGCAGTGAAGTGTCTTAGGCACTATGGTACCAGAGCTCTCTCATGGAAGTAAAATGTCAATACTACCCAAAGTAATCTACACATTCAATACAATCTCCATCCAGATTCCATCAACATTTTTTAAGGACACTGGAAAAACAATCACTAATTTCATATGGAAAGGAAAGAGACTTTGAATAAGCAAAGCAAAGATGAAGAAAAAAAGCAAAGTAGGATGTCTCACACTCCCATATCTCAAAACCTACTATACAGCCACAGTAGTTAAAACAGCATGTTATGAGTACAATGATAGACAAACAGACCAATGGAACAGAATCAAAAAACCCAGAAAATAAGACACATCCATCTATGGACAGCTGATCTTTGACAAAGGACCAAAACCTGTGACAGCCTCTTTAACAAATGATGCTGGCAAAAGTGTATAACCACTTGCAGAAAAATGAAACAAGACCTATACCTCACTCCAAACACAAAAACACACTCAAGTTGGATCAGAGACTTAAATGTAAAACCCAAAACTATAAAGCTTATCAAAGATAAAACAGGGGCAAATCTAGGGGCCCTAACTTATGGCATAAATAGACCATCAAACATAACCTAAAATGCACAGGCAGCAGAAGAGATACTTCTTCAGCAAAAGACTGAAACAATTCAGCAGAAGACTGAAACCTTTTAAAAATTAAATTCTTATGTGCATCTAAAGACATCTCCAAATGGGTAAAAAGAGAACCTACAGATTAAGAAAAAATATTTGGCTGTGACATATCAGACAAGGGACTTATCTTCAAAATTTACAGAAAATTTCAACACCTCAACACCAAAAAGACAAACAACTCAATTTAAAAATGGGCAGAGGACATGAACAAACACTTCACTAAAGAAGATATACTGGCAGCCAACAAACACATGAGGAAATAAATATTCACGATCATCAGACAGATGCAAATCAAAACAACAATGAGATATCTCACCCCAGTAATAACAGCAAAGTTTAACAAGACAGATAATAACAAACGTATATAAGTACAGCTAATAGATGAGTCGAACAGGTGCATATGGTTCTTACTTAGCCTTACTTTAGTACAGATTTACACCCTTGGAAACCCTATGGGGCAGTTCTACTCTGTTCTATAGGGTCACTATGAGTTGGATTCGACTCAGGGGCAATGGGTTGTAGTTCAAGTCAAAAAGACTTGAAGACTTTTTTAATGATTTAAAAGCTGCACATGTAGCAAGTGGAGGCGATTGCAAAGAACAGTTTGTTGTAAGTAGAGGTTGGTCCAATTGGTTTAAAGTGAGGGCAAAGTTAAATAACATTAAAGGGCAAGTAGGAGTTGTTTGTATCTGGGGACTGCCTGTATTAGATCACCACCTCATTCCATACAAAAACAATTCCAAATGAGTTAAAGAACTAACTATGAAGAACAAAACTTTACAACTTTTAGAAGAAAGTACATACATTTCTGACCTGAAATAGGGCAGGATATCTTAAACAAGAGACAAAACACACTAACCATAAAGAGAAAAATTTTACATTTAACTATATTAAAAATAACAGATCTCTTCATTATAAGATACCATAAAGAAAATTAAAAGGCACAAATAGACAAAAGTTAAAAACTCACACAAAACAATAAATAATAAAAAAATCAAACTGAAAGTGGGAAAAGAGATCAATAGTAACTTCACAGAATCAATAGCAATTATGGCCAATAAACATGAAAAGATGCTCAATCTAAGTAACAATTTAAAAAAAAAAAAATCACTGCCGTGGAGTTGATTTCAACTCATAGAGACCCTTCGAGTTTCTGAGGCGGTATCTCTACGAAGTGATTGCTCAACCTTCCTTCCAGAGTGGCTAGTGGATTTGAACCACCAGCCGTCTGGTTAGCAGTCAAATGCCTTAGGCATTACGCCACCAGAACTCCTCAACAGAAGGTGGAACTGCCAAAATACCCGGCAGATTCTCATAAAAGAGAAAAAGACTGCATACAGATACATATAGCTATTTACCATAGTATAAATTTCAGTTCAATAAAAAGGAACTTATCCATAGGCATGAAATCAAAGTTATATTAAGAGATTTCAACAAATGTGAATCAGTAGACAAAAGGCCACTAGAACTGAAGGCCAGTGAAAAGTCAGTAGTTTAAAAAGAGTTCAATATTTTAACTAGTAAAATAGAACAAAGAACTAAGGAAATAAAAGATTTTTTAGAATGATTCATTCAGTTGTTACTCAGTATAAACTTTCTTGGAACATTCCTCCATATGACATAACATGTAATAAGATTATGAAACTGTAAGAAATGTACTATTTGCTTTTTCAGGAATGCTGCCTGGTACAAAGGGTAAGTTAGTAGTCCACTGGGTTCAACAGTACATTATTCATTTGTCTTTGATGTGTTCTATCAATACAGAGGGAGGAAAACAGCTGATTTTATTAATGGTAAACAAAATTACTTATTCTTAGTAGAAACAAAGCTATAATTTGTATATGAATTTATAATTATCATTAGGAAAGAGGTATAAATTTCATGCTTCATTAAAGAAAATGTAAACTTCATACTTCATGAACCAACGATTCAATCTAAAATTATAAACAGTGTTATCCATTGCCATAATATTCTTATAGAGAAACAGACTTGTCCCACCTCCAACTTTATCTAGATGGCTACTTTATCTGTATTTACAAGAACAGAAAATAAGGAAATAGAAAATATAATGAAACATCACAATAGTTTAATTTCAAATGCCTTGGGTTAATCCTCAGGGAAATATTTTAGATATAATATTCCCTCTTACTGTACATGATAAAACTATCAATAAAATCCAACAGAGAAACTAAAACCACAAAATTTAGATCATTTATATAGTTACCCAATTTACAAAGGATTAACTATACAAGGAAGCCTAATATCATTTGTCATTTCAACCAATATAATCAACATTCTTCCCATTCTTATCCAAGCTTCACTTAATATTCCATTACATACTGTAAGTAAATATAAATAACGCATTTTCATGGAGATGCAAATAACCTCTGAAGAAGGAATATAAAATACGTGAAAATACATATTTTACAAGGTTTTCAATTGATGGTTACTCTTCGACTGATGTTTATTCAGTAGAAGCACTGAATAAAATGTTTAATCGGCACCTTCATTTAGTTCTCTGAATTCAAAAATAAACCTTTCTTCCTAAGCTAAAAAAAAAACGCAAATTTCAGAATTTATGTAAATAGAGTATGGCTTTTATCCACATGGATTTAACTATAATGACTGAGATAAGACAATCAGAGGATCATGTCATGCATTTTGGATTAATATGTTGTATTTAGAATAATCATTATGTATCATTCATTTTTAATGTTACAGCATAATGTTTTCCCTCAGAACACCTCAGTAGTGACTGTTAACACTACCACTGTTTTTTTTAATTACTCACCTTTCAAACCTAGAGTCTGTAGCTGGAAGAGCCGACCAAGTTCATAAGGCAAAACCCGTAACAGATTGTTATTTAAAAGCAATTCCCTGTTTTAGAAAAAGAAAACTTTGTTTTAATTTGATTTGTCAAATTTAATGAGTGTCTACAATTGCAGTTCTTAAGCTTCCTTCCAATACATCATGAATGATGCTTATGTTCAAGCCACATTATTGTATATTTATCCAAAAGTGTTGTACAGTATTCAAATACTACAAAATATGTAACTGCCACAATTATTAACGGTGTTTGTATAATATATTCATTCTTTAACATAGAAGTTAGAGGTGTAGGAATTGTGTGTCATTCTCAGGCTACGTCTACTTCCTTTTCTCTCTTTTCCAAAATGCCTATCAAATGCAAACCAGAGTGACATTATACAAATATACTTGAACTTGTACTTTATAAGAAAAAAAAGTATTTTTTAACAGACTTCAGGATTTAACTATAATTAGTAATCATCATTTTTCATAACTGATAATAACTATAATCCTGTCAAGAGATCATGAGAGACAATCACTGACAAAGAACATAAGTATTTAAAGAAAGTATTTGCTAGCTCTGGTAGCATAGTGCCTAAGGCACTTGACTGCTAACCAGAAGGCCGGCGGTTCAAACCCACCAGCCACTCCTCGGAAGGAAGGTTGGGCAATCTACGTCCGTAGTGATACCGCCTTGGCAACCCAAGGAGGGGTCACTATGAGTTGGGGCCAACTCAACGGCACATAACAACAACAACAACATTGGCTAGCACAGATAAAATCTAAGTTTATAATTGTGAAAATGTGGGTACTCTATTAAAAAATAAATAAACAGAACCCTTATTATTGGCTAACCAAAAAGTTTTTTAAAAAAAGTGAAAAACTAACAAAATATACAGTAAGGGGATGGTGAAAAGCAAGATTCTAAAATAGTATCAATGCTTAATTTTAAATATGCGAGAGCAATTTTTTAAATTTCTTACTCAGCAGATAAACAAGATAGAAAGGCAATTACTGTTTCTATTGTACACATTTAAAGTACCACAATTTCCTACAAAAATTTCTCCAATGCAGGAATTCTTAAAAGGATCCTGAAGGCCTAGAAATAAATATATATTTATTATCAGATTTTAAAGTTTCCTTATGAAGTTGTAATGTGAAATACATCTTGCCCTTTGTAATAAAGACATATTTCTAAAAATTTTACTTAGAAGCAAATCATATTTTCCCAATTATTTCTATTAGTTTTATCAGATACTTGAGCCTAAACTGTTTTTAACTGCCTCAAGTTTGTGGGAATATGTTGATAATATAAACACATTTTTAGCCAGGAACCTCCAAACTTAAATGAAACTAAAAAAGAAATGGTCATTGGAAATCAACTCATGCACTGTGCTAACACAGTTTATGTTACAGCATTTGATCTTCACACACACACACACACACACAACTATAACTTCCCATAATTTACTTATTTGGGAAATTCAGAATTTATGTAGTTAGTCACGTCTGTATTTCCTCACCTGAGAGACACCATATTTCCTAGTTCTGCTGGTAAACTTCTGAGTTTATTGGATGATAGATCCAGGTAAACCAGATTATGAAGCTTGGCAATATCAGGTGGAATGCGGCTAAGGTAATTGTCATTTAGGTGCAGTGCCGTCAAATGTGTCAGTGACCAAAGTGATGTACTTAAGCTCCGCACTCTACCTAAAAGGCAAAATACTGAGGCATAAAATTCAAGACCCAAGACAGACTGCAAAACAGTAAGGACTAAAAGGTGGTAGAAGAGGGTACAAATACATGAAGATACTGTATCTTCAGCATATTAATTTTGTATTTAATACCTCTGATTGATTCTAAACACAACTTGTCCTCCTTTAATTTCACACCACTTTCTCCTGAGAACTACTCTTTCTCATGGATCTTTCATTCATTAAATGAGATCTGGCATAATGAAGACATCTTTGGACTCATGGTGATCAAATAGTCTCAAAGACCAAGCATGGGGATGAATGAGCTTTTGTGGTACAACAGCCTTGAATTTTTAAGTCATAGTTCTAATTAAAGAATGTCTCATACATTTCATGAAAGTTAATAGTGCAAGGTGTATCCATTCCCAAGGCCTAGATTAATCTACAAACTTGAATAGAATACAGAATTACTATGACTTAGAGCCAACCGTAGATTAGCCACCAGGAAAACCATTTTAGCCCCAAAAGAGATATCTTCCCCAGCCTTCTGATGTTACAACTATAGATTAATAACTCTGGCGTAAGGTTTTCCATTTAGTGCAAAATACTGGTAGCAGGAGCTCTGGTAGCATAGTGCCTAAGGCACTTGACTGCTAACCAGGAGGCTGGCGGTTCAAACCCACCAGCCACTCCTCGGAAGGAAGGTTG